ACTGTGGGGTTTCTACATGTTACCAAACACCATATATCATCATGAACAAATCAAGACTTTAATCTATAGTATGAAGCCTTCCTGCCAGCCAGTGTATAATTAATCATTCTAGAGTAACAGAGTTATCTGTTCACATAACATTTTATGAAAAGCACAAAGGAATTATAAAAATGACAAACTAGAAGGATATAACAGGACTGAGTAACCAAACACCCCCAAGTAAAATCTTTTCCTTCTTAGTGCTCAGCTCACTTCTTTCTCCCACCTCTCTCCTTCAGTGCCAAATGAATTACTGAACCGTTGTTCATGTTGTAATAAGCCAGGGAGTTGGAATCCTTGATGAAAATGCCCTATAATGGAAGGAAAAAAACATAAATATTATTCAATCAGTCATTCAGATTAATGCAGATGAGACCTCATATTTTCCAATAAGGCTCAAAGAAAAGCTTACCTCATACTGCAACTTCTGTTTTCCTGCTGGCATGCCTGTAGCTTCATGGATTTTGACTTTAATAACAGACACCTGTGAAGACAAGACATTGCATTTTCACATCCATAAGAATGGAGTAGGTGCAGAGGCATGCAATAAATAAAGAGGGAAACAATAAGCCAACATATGAATACCTGGTCTGTGAGTGGGACAGTGAAATTCAGCACTTGGCCATTCAGCTTCCATTCGGTCTTGTCTTGCATGTTGGGAACCTGTACTTTAACTGCCACAGGGCCCTGGAGAGGGGGGGGAATCAAGAAACAACAGGATGAATTTTAGTGTTACGGGCCGAATCAATAATGTGACAATATTTATTACAGCTAAGGCTACATATATTTCTGTCTCACTGATAGAAAAATAAAAATATTGGATGTTTCTCAGCCATCACATTTGAAACTATATATGAGCATACTTTACTTCTCTGTTCAAAAACATTAACTCAAGCAAACCAGACACAGTTCATACATCCAACAACTCGTGTCATTAACCACTGACATTTCACTGCATTAACAAACCTTATTTCTACGAAGGAACTCCTCCTCTGGAATAAGGTTGTCCTCTGTCTTCATCTTCTTGCTGATTGGCTCATCCTCATGAGGTGGAGGTGGGTGGGACGGCGGCACAGGAGCAGAGCTGGGTGGTTGTGGCACTGGAGGAGCCGGGACAAATGCTGCCGGAAGAAGCAGGTTATTTGAATTTAAAAAGATAAAAGTAAGAAAGGCTATGTGGACAAAGTTCAGCTGCCAAATTAGAACAATTAAACATTGAAATTTCACTTTGAACATCACTGGTAGGTGTCTAGAAACCATCTTACCAGCTGGAACAACCATGGGGGGTGGTCTCGGGGCCATGAGGTGGGGTGCTGATGGAGGCATAGGGACCACATTGATACGGGGAGCAGGAATCACAGGAGGCATTTGTGCTAAAACTTGTCCTGGTGCTAGGCGCACTACAGGAGCCACAGGGGGTCTTGGAATTACAGGTACAGCAGACAGAAGGGTGGTACGCACTGGAGGTGCCACCTGTATAATGAGCACATTTGTGGAATATTAACAACATGCTGTATATACAGAGAACATTTAATTAAGTATGAACAATCTTTTTAAATATAGGCTCACAGCAGCAGGTGGGCGAGGCACTGCTGTGACAGGAGGATTGGGTTTAGGCAAATTGGCTGCAGAGGAGGGGATGGGAGGCGGGTGATGAATTTCACTTGGCTTGCTTGGGCCAATTTTCTCCTTAGTATCATCTTCTCCCACCAGCCCTTTGGCCTTGTGAATGGCTTCAATCTGCTCTTGCAACGTGATGTTGGCCTGTGCTGCCTGCTGCGTACGAGCCATGCTACCAGAATGGCCATCCCAGGTAACCTGGTCAGGGAGGAAAAACACAAGTATTACAGACAACAAAACACCTGGAGAGAGAAACAAACCAAGCTACAAACCAAGCTACATATAAATCTTTGAGGATCAAAACGGTACTGACTTAATTTCCTTCATCTCAGTGACTGTTCTGATCCCACACTGTGTAATTTAAACTGTTAACTCTTCTCACCTTTTCCTCTGGCTTCTGGATTTCTTCTTCACCAATCTTCTTACCAATGGCTGTTTCTTCCACACCGAAGATATCGGTACGCCTCTCAGCCAGCTGTTTCAAGCTGCTCTCGATATCCAAACCAGGAGCATAGACTTCGTCCTCTATCTGCCTCTCTTTGATTATGCGGTCTCTTTGCTCCAACCAGCGCGGATCCAGCAGACCAATACGCATGTGTTCTTGCATCTTACTGGCTGGGATCTTCTCGCCAGTAATTGGTGAAATGAGATACTCGTCTGGAGTTGCAACTGAGGGCTGAGGCTTGGAAGCTGGGAAGAAGAGTCAATATTAGATCAGCACACACTGTACATGTTAATAGCCTGTTATGCAATAGGTGTTATGTTATATAAGAGAGCATGTGTTACCTTTAGGGTCGTAGTCTTTGCGAATAATAACCTGGTCTGGAGTTGGGGGCAGTGGGGGTGGCATAGGGCTGTCTGGTGGCAAAGGAGCCTTCATGCCCTCATCCTCTTCATCAGATCCCTAAAGAAGCAGGAGGGGAAGAATGATATGTTATTACCAGCACTTATCATTATTTTATTTCTGTTCAAGAAGAGCATCACCAAGCATAGGTAGTATATTTAGTTAAACTGAAAATGAGAATAAGACAAGGGGCATCAAACCAAACCAATAGTATGAGGTAAGAGTATACAAATATAGCAGCATATAACTGGTGAAGGAAGGACAATGATGACTTACTATATCAGGTCTTACCTCATCCATGTCCTGCACCTGTGTGTCTTGATCAGGCTGTGAGGGGCGGCCTTCGTCCCGATTCTCCCGTTCATCCTCTTCATCCTCACTCTCAACCTCCATCTCCACTTCCTCACTCTCTCCGTACTTCTCATAGCGCTCTTGGATTAGGATACGAGCACCAAGCTCCTCGGGTGTGGTGGGTGGTGGGAAGTGGCCTGGGGAAACAGAGATACCAATATAGACAAATGATTCTTGCTACATTTAGGGGTTTAAACATTTTAAGATGTTAATGATTGTGGTTATATTACCTTGTTCATTGGGCTGGAAATCAACTGTCTCAACCACTACAAAGTCATGCCAGTCGATTTGGGCATATGCTACCCGCTCTTTCTCCCTTTCCTCCTCCTCCTTCTTTCTTTCACGCTCCTGGAACTTTGCCCACTCAACACGGTACCTCACCTGGTGTGTTTGTGCAGTAGGGAAGCTGATTAGCATGAGAGCAATGCTATTAAATGTTTTTTCTGAGAAACACAGTAAAAAAAAGAAAAAGATTACCTGGTCCATAACCTCTTTTGGATTCTCTGCCTCTCTCTTTAGCTTGGCCAGGAGGCCTTTGGGAGGGATCAGAATCTAAAGGTTGAGAGACAAGAGCAAGATACAATTTAGCATCATTACCCAAAAAAGAATAGAAATAATACTAGAGAGGAGCAATCTGTGAGGTCACCTTAGTGTACTGTTCAACCAGTTTGGTGAAGTAGTTGAAAAGGCTGTGCTGTGGCCGAAGAAAGTCAAACTGGTAGTTCCTCTGTTCTTTCTGCATGAGCTGAGTGAGAAACTGGCGCCCATTGCGAGCAACAAACTGGGCAGTGAGCTTCACAACATCCAGGTCAAATGCTGAGATTGACGGAGGATCTGCAATAAACTCAAACTCAGGAGGTGGCTCTTTGGGGACAACCGTCTCCTGAATTACCTGTGACTGCACCTATCGACAATCATGAAATATTAATTGTTATAAACAAACATGACCAATTATAAGCAATTTAAAAAAAACTAAAGTAAGAGTAGATGGAAATGCACTGTCTCACTTTTTGAGGAAGCTGCTGGGACTGCTGCAAGGCCTGCTGCTGCATAACCTTAGGCACAGCTGCAGAGGGTTCCTGGGCTTTGCCTTCCTTAAAGTCATTGACCTTGTGACGGTAGTAGGCATGGTAGGGGTCATTAGGGTTGAGAAAATTAAATTTTGGATTGTTGATCTCATTCTGACGGATTCTTGCTTCAAACTCAGGCCCATTTCTGTGAAACGACAAAAACGTAGTCATTTCATAGACATAAAATCCAGTTAAGATTGCAGATTAGACAACGGAGACATATGAAGTAACCAACCTGGCAACAAAGCTGGCTGTCTTGTCAACTATATTTCGGACCTCAGGAGGCGGATATATGATGCCAACAATGGGTTTGGTGGCTGGGGTTTCTTCTGCATCACTCTGTTGACAACATTTATATTGATTATATGATAAGGTTGATTATATGATTATATGATAAAGAAGATTAGAAAAAATAGGCAATGTCTAATTAAGAATCTGCTGTCCCCGGACCTTTACCATGACCACATATCTGTTATACCTGACCTCCTACACATTAGCTTCATCTTAAGTCAGTTCATTAAAAAAACATGGAATGCATTTGCATCTGAATGTGGCTGCCACCATAGCAATACAACAGGGAGAAATGTAACTTAGCTTCTCGTTTACAAAGCACAACAACACTTGGAAAACCCCCACAAAATATTAACGGTAACGTTACTTTGAAGAAAAAAATATCCAGGTAACAGACTTCGCTGTACCGCGGAAATAATGTCATCTTACGTTTAGAAGATGTGATTGTTAGGTACTTTCTTAGTTAGATAGATATTGATTAGAGATCTGTTGTATTAGAAGATGTTAGTGTAGCCAGGATGTCTTCCTCAGGCTGTTAAATGCAAGGTTAGTTAAAGCAGAGAAAGGCTGCAGTCAGGGATAAATGTTATTATGACGGTAAAAGTAACCATAATATTTGTCTTAATGTGGACTGTTGTGTTACATTGTTTTTAGATACACACCACATAATCAACATTCACACACATTATTTTCTTCATGTTTTGTCTGCCTGGACGTGTAATGTTAATTCTTGCCTGTGACCCTTTGAATAAACCAGCACGGTTATATTTTTTATATATCCAAGTGGTCTGAGTCGTCCCTCTGAGTTCCTGGTTTGAAAGAACCGAACGAGGCTTTATAATAGAATAGAGCCTTTATGATCATTGTTTGTATCGATAAATTATCTAGCTAGTTAGTTTCGCTGCAGAAAATGTGTGCTAGCTATATTGCTAACATTAGCTAGCTAAGCTGCAGCAGCATTCTTACCTTGTTGTTGGTCTCCGGCTGAACGATTTGAACAGGCCCAGGCGGCATGGCTAACGTTGTCTTTTATAAAGTTGGAAGCTACCTGGAAACACACAACCAACAAAATAACATAAATAATTGAATACACGTATTATACCACGTTATTACTATGTAAGAGAGCCATCTATTACAGCTAAAAGTCTAAGTTTGCTGTGGTTGAATACTGAATACTTACTGCGTCCGCGCTTTCGTTGGCCCAATGGAGACGTATTACTTCCGGAAACACGCCGCAAAGCACTGTGGAACTTGTAGTACTTTTTTTTTTCTAGTCGTCAAGGAGATAAGATGTCAACAAGCTGCAACTCACCCTGGTTGCTCTGTCAGACAAAAATACAAGCTAGCTTGTCAGACATGAGTCAGTTCCTGGGTCGCCAAGACTGTATTGAAAGCCTCCGAAAAGATGTGGTGGATCTTCAGGGGGCCATTCTGGATGTGTTTTCTAGAACTGGACCAGTCCGTTTTTCCTCATGGAAGTTCCCGGATAAACTCTCCTGTAATCTGGACATGGTAGATCTGCTGGAGCAGTATGACTTTGTGGATGGGGAAGATGCATTCAATCAGCACTCCCACATTATCTTATTGGAACTCGTGATTGACAGGTAACAACCCATTACATCACATTAATAAGCAATTTCTAAAGAATAAAAATGACTTGTTTTTTTCTCTCACTCCCTGAACAAGACTGCTGCTTCTTCTACAAAGCTTCAATGCCTATGTTGAGCTGCTGTGGTGCGGTCCCAGGGGAGAACACACCCAGCAGAAAGGATGCCTGTCAGTTGGTCTTGTAGTCAGAAATTACTGGTGTAAACTAGTTCAGTTTTCTAACTCTAAGGTACGCATATTGCTTACTGTAGATGAAGATGAAAACAATTAAAGCAATCAAAGAAGAATGCCAAAATGTTACCAGAGAACAGATAGGTCTTATTATTTTCTCATGCTTTCCTCTTCTTTGTAGGGGATGTACAAAGAGAGCAACAGGCAGACAAAATCAAAACCTTATGACTGTGATGAGACAGAGACTGTGTCATCTGTTTCCCCTCAGATGAGTTCAAGGGGTGACTGCTGCCAATTTAATTTATCTGCCCAGTCTTCAACAAGCTCTATTAAGTGTTTGCCACAAAATCATATTCCCTCCAGTCCTACCCATGATCACCCATGCTGTCCTAAAGCAGACACCCGTAATGTAAGCTGCCAGGCATTTGAATCATCCCTCATCCCTTGCGATGCCTGTTATCAAGTGCAGTCCCTTTTGAGAAAAACAGGAGATGCTTTGGTGGAACTTTTTCAGAGTGAGGGTCTGTCCTCCTCTCTACAGCCACTCCTGGCTGCTGTGGAAGACACCCTGGAGATAGGACATATGACTTCAGGTGATGTTGCTCAGTGGACCAAGGAGCAGCTTAGGGACATGGGCCATTTAGCAAAACATCTACAAGATGTGCGGGATACAGTACACCCTCTTAAAGATAGACTAGCAGCAGCAGAAAGAGAGCAGGAGAGATTTAGGGCTCAGGTGGAAAAAGCACAGAAAGAGCTGAAGCAAGAGAGGGAAAAATACCAAGCAAACATAGTCGAGCTGGAGTTTTCACTGCGGAAAGTACAGAGGTCCATGAAAGAAACAGAGCAAAGGCTACAAGAGGAGCAACAGCAACTGAAGCGAGGTGCAGTAAATCTACAAATAAACACAATGGGAAGTCACTGAGATCACATTTACTGCTACTGTATATGGTTAATATTTTTTGTAACAGAAACGTTGTCCTTGGAAGAGAGTAATTCCAGGCTGAAAGAGAAAGTAGCAGTGCAACAAGATGCACTACAAGCACTTGGTAAGGACACACAAAATTTAATTTACCATCATGCCACTGTTCTGTATTTATTTTACCATATTCACATTGAAATACACTTGTCTTAGTTCCTCACACAAAATAAACAAATATGCTGTATAATGGGCCATTTGATTTTGTGACAGAGTGTGAAAATAATGAACTACAGGAGAAAGTGAAGACCTCACACATAGAGGAAGAAGCCTGTTGTAAACTACAACAAAGAATCCAGCAGTTAGAGAGTCAAATATCCCAAAATGAAGTCCTTCTTGACAAGGAGAAAGCCAAGTACCACAGTGCTTGTCGTCAGCAAGAGGTCAGTGTCACAACATACACCAGATTATTTGTTGTTTCCCTCTGGAGCCCTTGACCATCTTACTACTTAACAGTAGTATGTTTTTGTTGTTGTGTCCAGTCAATGCAGGGAAAGCAGAAATCTTTGTTGGAGAGAGTCGATGCACTTGACGAAGAGTGTGAAGCGCTGCAGAGGCAGCTGGGAGAGAAGGAGGAGAGTCAGATGGACTTACACAATCAGCTGCAACAGATGTCAGAGGAGAAGGAGCAACAGCAAGCTCAGCTCGCTCAACAGCAGGTATATTTGATCCCTTCAGTGCCTAATAATACCCATAATGAATACGTTTAAACCTTGTGCTTTTATGTTGTTCCCCAACAGGACCTGTGTTTAAAGCTCCAAAAGGAAAAGCAGATACTAGAAACACACATAGATGAATTAAAGAAGAGTGTGGCTGAACCCAGAGCTCAGCCCCTTGGTGCATGCCCAACCACAAAGTACACAAATTTTGAATGTTTTCATACCTCTTCATTTCTGTGCAACTGTACAAGGCAGAGCCATCAGTGTCTTGTAATTCTATTTTGATTCCATGTGCTTTACTTAGAAAAGTGTGAACCTTGTATCCAGCCATTATTTTGCCAACTATGTAACTACAGTTACTATACGTATTACATATTGTTCTTTGCTTCCTTACAAGGTACAGGAAATGTACTTTTAGATATGGAACAACAACTGCAGGCAAATAGCATTCGTATAAAAGTTATGGAGCAGGAAAACACTGCCCTACACAGCAGCCTTGAGAAACTAAGGGAAAGAACACAACATAGTGGCACCCAGGTAGGGCAGATCAACATTTGTGATGTTGCAAAATGTGAAAATATGTGAATTGATGTATATTTACAGATTGGTTTGATATTGAAAATGATATCAAAACAATGCATTTTTATCAACAGGATGTTTCACCTCAGCAGAAATGGAGCCTTTCTTTGCTCAGCACACCAGCAGAAAAACTGACACAAATGCAAAAGAGTCTATTGTAGGTATTATTGGTTTAGAATACGTTAATCTAACAAGCAGCATTAAGCATGTTTTGTAAATGATTCATCATAACATCGTTTCATTTCTTCATCCTACAGGCAGAATAGCAGTGAAGCACAGCGGGGACACAAATGGAAGGAAGCAAGAGGTAGAGAAAGTGGTCTGGTGTCAGAAACGTCAGAGGATTGTGTGTCCACTGTTGCTGCCTCCCCCTCGTCCCTGCAAATTCACTTTCAACCCATCCACCTCAACAGGGGCTCCAGTGCTGCCAAAATCCATTCAAAAACAGGCAGTGCTTCTCTTCTGTCTCAATCTAGATCCTTGAATCAGAGAAGAAAATGAAGCCCTGAAGACATAAATGCATTTAAATAGAAGACTGTTTTGCATGTAGAGAAAACACAGCTTTATGTAATGTAAGGATTTGTGGTTCATAAAAGTATTATTTTCTACATTAATATGTTATGGTCTCTTCCTGCATATTATACATGTACTATTACATTAACATGGTGTACATTTAAAATGTTGGATTACCACTGTTACCACTAGATCTCTCATTATGCTACAGTGAATATGCTGTATACTGTATACAATACAATTACTGTGGATTCACAGGAGGAAGAAGAAGGTTTTTTTTGCTGCTTTAAACAACCATATAAGGTTTCTAGATATATAATATGGTTCTCAAACAAACCTGGATGTGTCTTGCGGCAGGTGGAAACAGGTGGTTTGCACAACTCTGAGTGTCACAATGACACACAGAGAGATGTGTGGATAGCTTTTAAGTGCTGTCTGACAAGGGAGGGGAGTTTCCATGGGAACATGAGTGCTTGCTGGATTCACTGGATTCATGCTCTGCTGAATCACTACAGACATTTATTTCAGTATCTCCGAGATAAACTGTCAGTAAGTCCTCATTAGTGCCCCTAAGTCAAGCCCACACATAATGGAAAAGCAGATCCTGTAAGTTACACCCTTTTTTTTTCCTTTCTATTGTATTTGCACTGTACATCAGGATGCTTGCTTTGCAGCGGTAATTTGAGAAGCCATTAGCTCAGCTGCGTAACCTGAGCTCCAAGGGGTTGGCTTGCGTCAGAGCTGTTAAAGTCAAGCACATATTGTACCATTACACCTGACTAACATTAACAAACATCTTAGTATCGATGACATTCAGATCTCTCACCAATACTGGCTGAGTGAACACCATACTGTATATATCATTTTATTAACTTTACAGGCAGCTCAGGACCTGAGTGTTAATACCCTAAACTGGGGTTAATCATAGTCAGTCTTATGCTGCTTCACCCAGTGCCAGAGATACCGATGACAATGACCAGTGCTAGATCAGTTAATTCATATTAATTATGGCATGTAGTCAAGTTAATCAAGAGCAGATGTCCTACACTGACAAATATACATTGATGACTATAAAATAAACAAGACTGGATATGAAATGACCATAGGTGAGAGTCGGAACGTAGATTGACCAGTAAATCGAGAGCTTCGCCTTACAGCTCAGCTCCTTCTTCACCACGACGGACCGGTACATCGACCGCATTACTGCAGAAGCTGCACC